GGATCGACTCATGGAGATATGGCACGGTTTGGTGAATAGCAAAAAGCGGTTCTTGTGGGTGGTCCGACCCGACATGGTGACTGGACAAGACAGGAAGGATCTGCCGGTGGAGCTAGCAGAGGAACGAAGGAGTTAGGGTATATAGTGGGATGGGCCCCGCAGCAGGAGGTGCTTGCACACGTGGCGGTTGGTGGGTTCATGACTCACAGTGGATGGAATTCGACGTTGGAGGGTGTGGTAGCCGGAGTTCCGATGATATGCTGGCCTTACTTTGGCGACCAACAGATAAACAGTAGGTATGTGAGTGAGGTGTGGAAGATTGGGTTGGAAATGAAGGACGTGTGTGACAGGAAGGTGGTGGAGAAGTTGGTGAATGATGTCATGGTGGAGAGAAGGCAAGAGTTTGAGAAATCAGCACAAGCTTTGGCAGCTTTGGCAAAGACGAGTGTCCGTGAAGGTGGGCACTCTTATTCTGATTTTGACCGTTTTATTGAATATTTGAAATCAATTTGTCAAGGAGAATAATTATCTTTGTTCTCGTCGGGGTAACCAAGTCATCATGCAGCCTCAATCTTATTTTCTTTAGCCTGGGCCTCAGTCAGCCCAACTTCTAGCACCATATGTTTTTCCTTCATTATGGGCCTTTTTGAGCCCAATTTAGATATGGAACTATCTCCACACATCATTGAATTAACTAGATAGGATCCTATGCATTGCACGGGTTGGATTGGAGCAAAGTGTTTTATCCAAAATTGAGTGCCAAGAAGAAGTATAAACAATAAAATAAATACAAGTTGAAAAATAAAAATTGATTGTATCAATAATTAAATGACTGTAGACACCTAATATATTTGTATACACAGAGCCAATGGATTAAAAGGCTCATTAGCGTTATCAGCTAACTTAACAAAATTTATATTAACCAATTCCCTAGCCAGATGCAACATGAAAAGAAGACACGGTTTTGTCCATTAATGACAGAAGGAAAAGTGATTAATGAAATTTGAACATGATAATAGTGCTTGATTATAGAAAGTATTCATAATAGACTTTGGTATTCCCATTCCAACCATAAAATGTGTTTCATTTAAACTTGAGAATAATTGATCTTACTTAATTGTACAGCTCTGCACGCATATCAATATGAATAATGCTAAAATGAATTCTCCAATTGGAGCATAATTCAATTGCTGCTATAAAACGGGAAGAGGTCAAGTTCATTTGTTTCTTGGAAGTTGAAATTATTTAATCTACATTGGGGAAAGTTACCATTTAATCATTTGAATATAGAGCAAGAATTAATACAGTTTTAACCTATGGAAGAGGCAATCTTGAGTGGCATATGAGGATAGGAGGTAATTTAACAACATTTGCATCAGGTGACTTAAAATATCTAATAAAGGGAAGGTAATACATTTCATGAAGCTGTTGAACTTCATTGATTGAAGGATTGAAAATGGCTCTTGTTGCTAATCCATAGTTAGAGAGCGGAAGATTGTCTTGAAAAAGATACAGAAAAACATATAGCTTGCAAAATCACGCGTGAAGTCTTTTACAAACAGTAAGGATGAACTTTAATTTACTTTTATCGAAGCCAACATCACATAGTTGAACAACAATAATGAAGGGAGGTTTCATATCAGGACTCTTTGCATTCAAAGCATCATGTGCACTCTCATAGAAAATGACAACGTCAAAGACCTCTCCCTGAAAAATGTAAGAGACATCAGTGTTTTTATCTGCATAATCTTTAAATTTTTATGAGAATATAAGAGCCAAACCCTTGCAGGAATCCTATTACATCTGTCAAGAAAACAGGAATCCATTGTATAAGAAATAATACAAAATGTAAATGAGAGGAAGATGTTGATTGCTTGCATACCTACGAAATGATCAATGTTAGTCTTGTTCTCTTCGAAATATGCAACCTCAATATTTTTTTTTTTAGTCTGGGCCTCAGTCAACCCAACTGATAGCAAAATATGCTTTTTTTTAGTATGGGCCTCTTTGAGCCCAATTTAGATCTGGAACTATTTCTACGCGTCATAAAATTATTAGGTATTCTCTTCTTCATTTATTTAGGCATAAATTCAACTGTGGGTTCAGTACCTTTTCCTTTCCTCTTCTTATTACTAGTCTAGGATATGATTTTCTATTTTGTAAGTTTGTCGAATGAGAGAACTACTACTTTTTTTTTTTTTGAATTGTAAGTTCTTTTGCCAACAAATTATAGAGTTAGAAAATCCTTAAGAATAAATTAAGTACTGTCATCTATCCATTATTAAGTATACCTCATCTTTCTTTATTATACGAGCAAAATGAATGATTATTATTTCGATGATTCAATGCTCTAATGAATTACGGACAGAAAAATGTTTATTTTTGTTATATTCATGTGTCCTTCTAATTTCTACTTAATTTGCACCATACAGGGGAAATGACTTCAATAAATTTAGTAAATTATAATAATTAATCTTCTTCACGTTCACTTCGATTAAATAATAGGATGATAACTTTCACGTCTCAATAATGCTGGATAAAATGGTTTCAATTTAGTACAAAATGAGGTTCCAGGAGATGAAGAGGAGGTTGAGTGGAACTTAGCTTCCATTGCTCGACAACATACATGATCTCTACACAAACTGGTTCCTATATAATTTCACTTCCAGATCATTTTCATCATTTAATGTTCAACGTTAATTTCATTTCAGTCCTTTATGGGCCTTTAGGATTGTTCATAATGCATTAGGCCTTATCTACAAATTAAATTTGTTCCTTCAGGGGCCCTGGATGCAATTTTCCTTTTAATATAAGTATTCTTATCATCAAAAAAAAATAAAAAAGAAAACTACCAATTAACCCCAATTAGAGCCAAGGAACTTTCTTGTAAAAGGCTTGAGGAGATAAACTAGACGCTGACGAAGAGATTTAAAACTTTAATTATTGACCTAACCTAAACCCCAAAAGAAAAAAAAAGTTATTTATTGACCTAACCTACACCCAAAAAATGTTTCCATAGATACTTATGTTTCAATATTGAGCTTATCCAAAATCTGTGACACATGTTAGCCAAGCCAAGCACTTTTTTGTTCAATTCTATTTGAATTTTAGTGTACAATGAAAGTGATTAGCTAATTGGCCTCACTATTTGGAGTATACAAATAAACTTCTAATAACTAAACCCCTCAAATAATATTATTTGTTACTTTCCTGTGTTTTCGCCAATGGATCCAACAAAACCAACCAAATAAATGCGCTTTGGTCTTTATTCATGTAGCTGTGTCCATTTTAAAATTGCGAGTTTACTAGTCCATTTATATTTAGTTTAGGAAAAAAGAATAAATTGATTTTTAAATTATAGGTCTATAAACATTTGGGATTCTAAATTTATTTTTAGTACAATTTTACCTTTAATTTTTTAAAATGATGCAATCTAGCCCCTATCGTTAATAAAAGTTAATTTTGACTGTTAGTTGATTATAAAATTATAAGAAAAAAATTAAAAGTTACAGAAAATAACCAATAAAATTTTTTTAGTCCTTTTTCTATAATTTTTTAGGTCATTATCTATAAATTTGTAAGTTCTTTCCATTATTTTTTGGTCATTTTAAAAAAATTTGAGGTCCTTTTCTATTATTTCCTAACCAACTTATAATTAAAGTTAACTTTTGTATAATTTTCAAAAATTGAATGAAAACATTACAAAAAATAAATAAATTTAAGATCATATACACTCCTAGACCTATAATCTAGAGACTAGGGGCCTATTTGATTTCTGTTTCTATTTTTTATTTTTTAAAAACTGTTTTGCAATGTAGTTTTTAAAATTATTTCTCAAAACAAAACAAAATGATAATCCACTTGGCTAGTTAATTTTAAAAACAGTTTTAGAATTAAAAAATATATTGATAATGATAATTATCAGTGATTAATAGTGGTAACTTATAATTAAAATTGATTAAGGTAACTGTAATTTTTAATAATCAAATGTAGTGTATTTTAAAAATAAAAAATAAAACCAACACAACTTGAAGTTATTTCTACTCATTTGTTTTAAAAAAAATGAAAAAAAGTTTTAGAAACAATTAAACCGAAAACACTTATTCAACCAAGGTTTTAAATTTTTTTGTTTTCAAAAATAAAAAATAATTTTTTAAAAGTAAAAACAAACAGACCGTAATTTACTATTTTATCCTTTAGTTTATATAACCAACCACAGCTAAAATGGTAGAAGCTGACATGATTACGTAAAAGAAAGAAAGAGAACTTGAGATCAATGACCTATTGAACTAAATTCCATTAGAATAATTAACGAATAAAAAATTTAGTCACCCATCATAACCAAGAATGTAATACATGCACACACCGTAAATTGGCGTTTTTATGCAAAAATTTGCATCAACTATCAACTTAAGTATACAAATAAAGTTTAATAATCAGTCAAACTAGTGTTGTATTTAATAAGCAAGTATATATTTGTATTTTCTGCTTCTTTTTTTCCACTCTTTTCAGTTCAGAAAAGATTGAAGTTTAGCAAGCTAGGCCTTTTTCAGATCAAATAAAATGAACTCGACTCGTAGAAAACATTAATTAAAAAAAGGAGAACCCAAGAGTATGACACCCATTTATATTGCATTTTGAAATTGTATGACTAATTTTTATAATATTCATATAACATATCGTAGTATTCATGTAACTTTGATAAAATATTATGTACAAAATCTTTTAAATATTTCCTGTTATTTGTCACATGTATGACCAACATTACCCGTTATGCAAGATGTATTGACTTTGAGCTTTTTCAATTATATATGTGATGGTCATGTAATGAACGTAAAAATAGTTTGTTAGTTGGCTAATCGAATGTGTCTCCGTTTTCTTTAAACAACCAAAATGGAAATTTCATCCCAACCATTACACTATCCAAGTTTACACAGTCAAAGATCAACATCATCCGCCACCACTTCGAAGTTCGAAGTAACAGAGATAATTAACGAAAAGGTACGAAAATTATTATCACTCTCATGAGAAAATCTAGTCAACACATTAGCACATTCAATAAATTCTCTAGCTTTTGGCTTCCCTCTTGGTATGAAATCAACAAAATTTGATTGACGTGTTTTACATCAAAATCACGCGATACCCACCCAACTCCCCGTTAAACGACAGAGAATGGTGTAGTGACGACATAGGCTACTCGAAGATTTTGACAACTCTAATCACATCACAATATATACAAATTTTCACACGAAACGACAAACAGCCGCCTTTGAACGGCAAATCAGAAAGAACCGATTTAATTTCCTGAATTTTCATGTCGTGCCCGGTGATTTCTCTCAAGAAGTCCCTTTAGAATCACTTTCTTCTTGTAAACCTCGGAATCCAAATCCAAGTCCTTTGACTCTGTGTTCAAGTTTTTTATTATGTCGTTTCCATGGGTCCTTCTGATTCGGGGGAAGACATACAACCATGCTGAAGTGCACAGGATTGCACATAAACGACCCCATACTATCATTATAACCAAAGTCACCAGAACAGCTGACAAACCAAACGCAGGGTCGTATGACTCGTATTTCTTTCTTGCGTTTCCTGACCGTACGGCCCTGTTCAAAGTCGTTTGAGATTGCCTTGGCATGGATGACGAAGGGCGGCTCTGTCCCCGTTTCGAAGCTGGCGTAGATACCGTGTGTAACACGGCAGGGGTTGAACTAATTTCTCCACGCGCTTCTTCTTGAAGTGAAGCCATGCGAGTCGCACCATTCTCATTTTCTGGGTTTTGCTGCGCTCTTTCTCTGTTCTGTGTCTATAGACAGAGTACAAGAAATTAAGGAGCTGAGCTTTCTGGGTTATCCTAATTTAGCTGGTTTTGGTGTCCTACTTAAGCTGAACAAACATACCTGGGGAGGTGTCTGATTGGGTGTGACAGGGACCATCAGAGGTCTCTGACGTGGCAGTTGGGGATTGGTTGCTGGAGGTTGAGATTCCATCAAAGGTTTCTGATTAGTGTTTGACGTTGACTTCCACGTCGACTTGAACAACTTCCACCTCCATTTCCGTCGAGGATGAGCTCGATGGGCTCCGCGTTCGTTGTTGTCATCAGGCAAAGAGCCATCCAACGGCACCGTTTTGGAGGCGGACTTCTTCTTTCGAACCCTTCGCCATGAAAACTTAGACTCTTCCATGGAATTGGTTTCATGGGAAAAAGAGGCAAAGCAGCAGAGCAAAAGAGAGGGCTTAGGTTTGGATTTTCGGGATTTGGCCATTGAGACTAGGAATAGAACAACATGTTCAAGGAGTTTGAGAATGATAATGGATTGCATATGGGAGCATCGATCATTAAAAAAAGGAGAAACAAGGGTTTAAAGGGATATATCTGAATATCTGATTAGTTTATATAAATAAATATAGTATTTGTTTGATCCACAACCACGGTTTGGAGGAGAGACTTGGACTTTGTCTATCAGCCTCCAGTCCCCACACGCTGGCTCCTTCCGCACGTTTCCAACATCCATACATATACCCCCAGGAGACAAGGATTATTAATATATTATACTAAAACTAGACTGCATATTACAAAGAAATATTGGTCTGCTCATTAAGAATTTTTATATTTAAATGTAAAGATATTGTTGATAGCAATTTATAATTAATTTTATAAATATTTTTATTTTAGGATAAATGAACAAATTATCCTCTAAACTTTAGATCAAATAGTATTATAAACCTTAAACTCTTGTTATGCAAATTGTTACCTTAACTTTTAAAAATAGTGTAATTTAACACCTACCATTAATAAAAGTTAATTTTGATTGTTAATTAACTAGAAAATGACAAAGAAATGACATAAAAAATTACATAAAAGGACAAAAAAATTATAATAAAAGATCCAAAAATTATAGATAAAGACAAAAAATTTGTAATTTTTTGAGGTCATTTTCTGATCAACCGACCGTCAAAGTTAATTTTTATTAATATCCGATACCAAATTACACCGTTTTAAAAAGTTAAAAGAATAATTTACATAATAAACAAATTCAAGGTTTATGGTGCTATTGGATATAAAATTTAACTGTCATTTGCTCATTTATCCTTCTTTTTTGTTTCAGTTAAATTGTGTAACAATTTGTTATGAAATAAATTATAATAAACTGTTCTCTACTTTTTGTCAAATCAAATCAAATAATATATATTTAACATAAAAATGCAAATTAAATAATTTTTATTACATAAAATTAAATGGCTAATATACCTTTTTTTTTTAAAGAAAAGATTAGGTGAATTGAGCTCGAGGACTCAGCAGAGTCCAAGTATGCTTCCATAGTCAAATAGCATTTATAAAGATATTTACATATCACTTATTAATAAAGTCATCACATTGGCAACAAAATTTAAACTCACAACCTTATGGACTATATGTCAAATACACTAACTTTCTCATGATATGAAAACTAGAATAGTTTCAAATACAAAGGTGAGCATTAGTTTAATTAATTATCTCTGTAATCTTATTATTAAGAATCAATTCTAGTTTTATATTATAAAAAAAGCTTACTGTTTTGTAACGAAATATGTAAATTCAGGGGGTAGAAGTTGACTATGTATATTTGATATAAGGGATTGACGTAATTTTTTAAGTAAAAAAATTGTGTGTCAATTGGCATTTGGCAATTATATAGTAAGAGGTTAATTTTAAATATTCTCCATGGGCTACGTCCGTGCAAGACTTAAGCCTTAAGTTGTCCTTAGGTTATTTTTATTTTTTTGGTCAAAAGTATTTTATTTTTATTTTCATGATCAAATTTATAGAAGAATCAGCTAACTAAAAGGATTTTTTCTATATTTGATAAGGAATAATTTGACTATGTGCTAGGAAGTTGCCCAGGCTTAAGTGAATTTCTGGAATCCAACAAATTGATAGAATCCTACTTATTTAAAATTTAGGTAAATGTATATTTTTATTTTTGAGGAATACACGGCATCCTACATTATTTAATATAATATTTTGCTCATAAAGTAATCAAAACATAACATTTTCTACCCTAATGTTAAATAGTATATGTTAGTCATTAATATGATGAGTATTTAACATTAAGATAAAAAATGTTACATTTTAATTACTTTAATGGAGAAAAGCTATATCAAATAATTTAGAGTTCTAGATATTTCGCAGAAAATATTTTAAAGATAAAAATATATATTTGTCCTTAAAGTTTTTGGTATAAAAAATAATGGAAGGAGGTCCCACCATTTCCTCTATAGTCTACATACTCTGCGGCATGAGTTTATGGCTGCTTTTCTGAATAAGAACCGCCATGGGATGACCAAATTAAAAAGACATGCATATCGCTTGCAACTTCGTCCGGGAAAAAAAAGTGGGGGAAACAAGTTAAACACGTGTTTTAATTAAAATACAATTTTTTATCACATTGACTGTAGAAATTAATTTTAAAATTATTATTTTCATAAAATATTAAGAACATGTTAGGCACAGATTTCACCCCACTAATAAAATTTCTAGGCTGGTGACTGTCGTAACACAAAATTACTAACAAAAGGAATCGAAACTATCAATAAAGAACAGTAAAACTGATTAAAGCCTAGTTGACCACTTTGACTTATTTCTCGATCATTCTCTCTAATTTTTAAATCATTTTTCTGAATTTTTTGATCATTTTGTATAATTTTTAAAATTTTTTCATGTAATTCTCTAATCAAATAATAGTCAATTTTTCAATAATAAAGGTCAGATTGTATCATTTTTAAAATTTAAGTTCTAAAAATAAGTTTAAAGTCTTATGTATGGGAGATTATTTCATAAAAAGTGATGGACTGAATTGAAGCCCAATGATGGAATACTAGGCCCAGCATTTGACCTTTGGACTAGCCCAAAAACCTTTAATACCATTTCCTTATGACACATCATCTTGGGCAAGATTGATGATGACTAATGAGTACCTAGATAATTAGAGCTGGAAAATGGACATGCTCAACTTATAAGAGCTTGAGCCTTTAAGCTCGATGTTTGATAAAAAAACAAGGGGGTGTCGAGAGGTGTGTTAGAGACATGGGAAAACCTAACTTCTAATCAAACGTGAGGAATTCAAGCTCCTTTACCACAGTTCACTTTGATGTGAGAATATAAAGTGAAAAAAATTAATGTAGATACAGCGAAGTAGAGATACATTAATTAAAAAAAAAGGTGACGGCCTATATTGATAGTACAATATAAAAATAAAAACTAAAACTACATGGTAAAAGGGAAATAAAATAACGCAGCAGATATAAAGTCTGAGAATTTGACTGATAGTTTATTGATGTTGATAATTCTAATGAGAAAGGGTTTCTTTATTTATAGATGGTCCTAGCTTGGTGCCCAAGACCATGATTGTAATGCCTTTACTAACATTACCATACGCTCCATTACAATTAATCTAATCACTTTGAAATCATTTAAGTTGTAAACATTGAAAGCATGGAAATTCCAATAAAAATATTTTCAAATCATTTTGTAAATTACTCAAGTTATAAAACCCCATACACAAATACATACATAGCGGAAGCATTTTGTCTTTGTGCATTAAAGATTAAGGAAACATATGCAAACCTAGAAAAACAAGGTGAAATTTTCCACCGTGCGTCGCGACTCGTGCCACCTGCACTGTGACATGTGGCACAGAGGCCACAGTTGCTCGCTCTGTGCCGTGCATCACAACATGAGGGTACATGTGCTGTGGCGCACACACTTAAATTTACTGTCAAATGACAATTTCTGATATAAAATTTAGATGCACGCCATTTTTACATATGATGTCCGATTGAGATGGTTTAAGTGCCCACACGAAACTTATTTTGAAATCTAACTAATGACACTAGTTTTATTTTAATTTGATATCTCTATCAAAAATTAAACACGCAAGTGTATTTTGATTGTTTTTTAGCAAAACCTACTCAAGCGTCTCAATTCGAAACCAAATGTCACTAACTACTTTTTGGGCCTTAGCCATATCTAAATGGATAATAGACACTTGATTGACCACACATATGCACGATATATCACACATATATATATTTGGTCTGCAAACCGCCCATTTCATACTTTGGGCCAAAATCACATTTTTACTTATTTATTCCCATACAAGGCCAAACCACTACATATACTCTTCAGTCAACTCATATTCACAAACATATGTATTTATCCACTAGCCCATCCATTCCTTTCATCTTTTACATATACATGAGAGCTAGGGAATTCTAAATTTATCAAAAACATAACATAAATACAACTTCATGCATATGATTGGATTTTATGGTAACTTATACATATTTACAACCACTAGCAACAAATTCATTAACCAATTCTTACAAAGACTTAGGTGAGAGATGCCAACTCAGCCTATATTCTTTCCCTTTAATCTACTAGCACTAGAGCTTGAAAAATGTAAATAACAACCGGTGAGATAAATATTTTAGTAACCAATATAGCTCATTTAATGCCTATTACCACAATATAACCATACTCAAGTAACGAAAATAAAGTAGTATCATATATATATCAAAGTATGAAGAAATATAATATTTTTAAAGTCACTCCACACAAATACGCACTAGCATGATCATCTAGCCACCGAACCTCCAATACTCTCGACATGAAACCATAGGCTCTCCTAGATCAATCACTTGTCGACATGAGCACACTTTTGATTGTAGAAACACCCAACCAAAAGTAATCTAACCCACCTACAGACTATGGTTTCCCTCTTCACACACTTGTAATAGAGGCATCATTGACTCTTAACCACACTCTATTGAGCACTAGGGAGTTGCCAGACTACCTGAATGTCCCATGGTAATAGTCCCATAAGATGTTGTAATGAATTACCTACGGTAACAACCTGTATAATGCTGCACCAAATGTCTTATGGTGTTAGCCCAACCACATAAATTTTTCACTCATATATCTCCACACACACATATCCTCACATATTCCGGGTGAATTCTCACCCCTTATGATCATGCTCTTTCACAATTTTTACTATTTTCTTTCACATTGCCACAACATGTAATGCCATAACACACGTATACACACGCGTATGCGCACATCATTTGAAATCAATTAACCTTATAAATCTCATTTCACAAACTATTATCCATACTAAAGATATTTCAATAACAAATCATGCACAAAACTCTTAAAATAACAAATTTATCAATTTGTATTTACTTCTACATAGTTATAATAGTTAATAAATATAATAAATTATATAGTTACCTCAACCCTTCTATTTACTAAAAAGAGTTACCCATGTAACTTCAACCCTATTCAAGATTCTTTCGGGT